TGTGGAAATAAATGAGCTCAGCAGACCTCCGTTAACGCTGCTGCTGACCAGCGTCGGCTGCAAGGTCCAATCAGTAGAGAAGATTTTAGCTTAAATGTCTTTGGGAACGTCCGTTAGCTACAGTCATTTTACTTATTTGCGTAATAGTGACAAAAAGGAGTCAAAGCTTCTTTAATTGACAACATTGTTCTATTGCTTTAATTGAATTATTCCTTTTTAGTGATTATGGATAATTGGTCATTTAAAAACTGTCATTCATTCGTTAACACTGGAGTTGCGATCATTGACAGCTGCACTCACGTGGGCATTTCTCCCGCCTTCCCTCGGCGGTGTTTGAGTGAAAGGCAGCGCTGACGTCGCCGCCGCCGCGGTGCGTGTGAGATGCTGCAGGCGCCACAGAGGGGCCAAGAATCGGCCCGCGGGGGACCCGCTGATAAACAACAGCATTTGGTGACCTTTTGGAGTTCTTATGGGGGATTTAGACCCCCGCTCGGAGCTGCTCCACGCTGACAGGAGCTCGGCGTGCGCTGGAACTCAGGTGGGAATTCTCCCGACGGAGGCGCCACAGCACGCGCCCTCCGTCGGAACCAACCAACGAGCGCCAACGACATCACACGTCGAGGTCCTCCTGGTTCAGAGGACAGATCCCCCCCCCCCCAACCCCCTTATCCCTCCCCGCTTCTCCCCGAGTCTCACGGCGTTTTTCAGCTCATCACCCGGACGCACCGGCAGTGTGTAGGAGTGTGCGTGTGAGACACAGAAATGGAGGGGCGGGGGGGCGGAGGCCTGCTCTGCACTCTCTGTAGGACTCTTAGTAAGATGCTTTCAACAGCAGACAAACTGCTTGTGCACTTACTGTGAGAGGAAGCTCTGAGTGTTTAGAGTACTCAGCCCACTTAATGCATTATTATTGTTACTACATTCTTGAGGGGAAGGGGGGAGAAATGGAACAAGGAATGCTTTTCAAGAGTCAAACTATTTAAAGGGGAGGAAATGTGTGTGAGTGAATGTGTGTGTGTGGAGGGGGGTGGGGGGGGACAAGAGTGTTGAGTATCTCATTCTTTTTGGCATTTATACTCATATTTTAAATAGTTTACCATGAAAACCATCTGAGCGCATGTTTGTAATATTCTTTAGTGAAATAAACACTAATGCCAATGCAGATAGAGTGGCTCCCGTTTCTTTTGTGTATTTATTTGTTCAGTGAGAAATACAATGCAGCTCACTGATTAATAAAGGATTACATTTGTTTATCTGGCAATAGATCCTGTCATTATGATATTTGATGAAAGTTCCGTTTAAAAAAGCAAAGGAAGAATTCTAAATAAAATGTTCATGCAGGAAATCTGAGACTTGGTTTCCTACATGAACATTTTAGTGAAACTTTCATTATCTGTTGCGTCTTTTCTTGCACGTTGACAAATTCCACTTTGAGTAAATGTGCCTCTAAGAAGACCGGAGTCCTGGTGGCGGGCGCCTCCTTTCTCTTGTCGCATCACGGGTGCATTTCCACTGCAGAGGACGTGTGAGCGTAAAGTGAGCCCTCCTTTGGTCACAAGGTAACCCTTCCAACAGTAAAACGCTGGGCTTTAACGGCGCTGCTCGCACCGCAGTGCACAGCGCTCATAATGGAGAGGATCCAGTTACCTGCTACTTCGGCCCCAACACGACGGCCAATAATTGCCTTACCAATATTTGCATGTCCCTCTCTGTTATTGAACACCGCGCTAAGTAACTGAGCACTGAGCACTATTTTGGGGTTGTTTGCGGATTCCACGGTGGGCTGAAACTACACAATTATGAGGCACATTTCACACCATTACGGTGTTTTTACGGCGCTTCGGGTTTCATTGAAAGCCCGGATTGTGGCCGACTGAACACCACGCTCATGTTCCAACACACGGACCTCACGTGGCGATACTTCCCTGTCGGCGTCAGAGAGAGATACTAGGTAGTGGGAAGGAGAAATACCGCTGGTCTCTGGCCAATCAGTCGAATATTCCTTCAGATCCTTACAATTATTCAAACTGAATTAAAGCATCACTTGCCCAAGTCTCATCAAAAATTGATAAATGGTTTATGAGATACTAATGAACAAAGGAACAGACAAAACCCCTCGGACCTAATCAGTGTAATTACAGAGATGCTGGAACGCAATGGTGAGATGCATCATTTCACAGGTTTTGGCGGAATCGGATGTCGACGGGCCAAGAAAGCAGAAGGATGGAGAAGCCAATGACGGGAAAAATGAAGAGCTGACCGTTGCCTGTATGGATGAAGTTCTAATGGAGAAGCACAGGAAGCGGCCAAGATGGCGAGCATTCATTTTAGATACGGTACTAAGAAACATGAGATATGCGATTAATGTTGTGTGTCATCACGCAGCTAAGTTAGCTTTAGCCGTGTCGTAGGTGTTAGCGGGAAGAACAAGGCCCAAAAAAACACTTATCCTCAGTCACGTCTTCCTCAGAGTCACTCGCACAGAATCTGTGCTTCTTTTAACCTACGTATCCATTTACTCATCTGAGTTTTTCTCACTAACTAACAGCTTTGTTGGTCCACTTGCATGTTCGCAGACCAACGTCCGACAGACAAAAGACCCACACAGTCCTGATCAAGAGAGGAGATGAATCAATCAATCAATCCTTCTGTGCGCATCAATCAACACTAAGACTGATCTTATTTGATACAGAGCATAAAGAAGTGCTTAATATTTGACTGTAAACAATGTCTTCGTATTCAATATGGCTTTTGGTTCTGCCCATGAAGCAGCGAGGCCTGTTACACAGTTAAAGAAAGGTGTTTTGGTCAAAGATGGAAGCCGTTCCCACGTCATAAACCCACTAAACCTCGCACAATAAATCTATCCATCAAAAAGTGTTGACATCTTTTTTGTCATAAAGCATCTGGAAGGTGTTACGTTTATTGTTTTTGACACAGTTGACAAAGGAGAAAACTCGTTTTGCACTCGTTTAAATCCAAACTCCACGGTTTGCACAGCCGTCCATAAAAGATCGCCCAACCACACCGAGATAAATCAAACGCATGCGGCAGAAACAAAGACCTAAACTAATTACAAATAAATAGTAGGTGACTAATCATAAGTAATCCAGTTGTGTTGCATCAGCAGACTCCCCAGTGAGAGCGGGAAGGCGCTGGAGTCGAGGCAAAGTGATTTCCCTCAGGCAGACGTGCCATTTGAGTGTGCTCCATTGTTCTGGGTGAGATCCATTAGCCCTCACCCTGGTTTACCACATCAAAGCAAATTCTCACTTATGGATTATGTGTAAATAGGTTTTTTTATATATTTATTTATATTATGTCAGTGGGTCTGTAACAGACCTATTTTACTTGTTCGATAAGTTGAAAAAGGAGCCACATAAAGTGTGTGTGAGGGTTTGTGCCTGTGTGTACAGCTTACGTATACGCGTATCTGTGTGTACGCGAGTGTGTGTGTGTGTGTGTGTGTATGTGTGTGTGTGTGTGTGTGAGCAAACAGCTTAATGGAACCAAGCGGATTTCAGAATGGAAAAGGCCAATGTTAGTGTAGCACGAAATAGTGTTGTCATGATGTGGATTACACTTAAAAGCAAAATCAAACCCAAAATCAACTTAAAGGATAAATCATTTTTTTGAAAAATCTGATACTCAGAGGCTTCTTTGGCCGGAGTCATTTAATAATAAGCGTGTGAAAGTGGTGGGGCTCTCTGGTGATCACCTCCTGAGCATCACTCACAACCGTAACATGTTTCATAATTCATACTCGAATCATCCATAAGACCTTAAATCAAATCAGCAGCTAAGCTAAATGAGGATGATGCTTTTTTTTAAAAGCATTTCACAGTCATCTAAGCATTAATGCTGACTACATTTTTATGTTTACATAGCTATTTGCAAAAATGTCGGTTTTAAGTGGTTTGTAGAACCACCAGCCAAAGCTCCATCTAAAAGTCACGTATGAAAGCAGAATTATCCCGTGAGATGGTTCCTTTTTTTGTGCAAACCTGACCACATTGCTCCTGTACATTTGCTGCAATATTGAGCTCCTAGTTGCTTCTATGATCCTGAATTTACTGAACTAAATCTGTTGTTTCTTGGTGCTGGTACCGGTTTGCTCAGCCTCTCCATCCTGCACCGCGTAACTGGTGCTGCCTTCTGATCTAAATATAGGTAGTCGCATTAAATCAGTTCCAGCATCAGCCTTTTATCATCTAAAAACTCCTGTTGAAATAAAGCGTCTTGTCTAAACAGGATCTGGAAAAGTTAATCCATGCATTTACCTCCAGTGAGCTGGAAAGCTTTTTGCAAACTGCAAAACGTCCAAAATTGCTTTCTCTGTACGTATGAATGTGAAACACAGTTCTTTTGCTCGGGTCCGTCAGAATTGATCCATTTATTGATTATTTCCTGCTAGTTTAGCTGAATACAGACTGCATCATCGGATACTCAAAATACAACTTTTTTTGTCCAAGTGCAAAATGTCTAAACGCACATTTCACCTTCTATTGGAGTGCATTTTGCACAACAGCATTGTTCCAGCCGAGGCCCCAGACTCCACAGATAAGCGCACCAGCCATTACTGGGTACCTCCTTCAGACCTATTAGGTCTTGCAAGGACTTCAAACACCAATTTGTTCTGCAAATAGCCTTTTCAATTTGTGCCCGCCAAAGACAGACACCCTTCTCCCTCTCTGCAGTAATTGAATCTTCAAAGGGACATTTTCCTCTACGTCTGTCAGGTATTAGAGTGATGAATAGCAAACGGTCATTTGAGCAGAAAGAGAAGATCCATGTTTATCCCAGTTCAGTTAGACGCTCATCGTGCTGGAAATGGAGAGGCAGCGCTGGAGGGTCGATGATTTCCAACGACAAGGCAGAGAGTCACGCAGTGTCGCCGGGCTTTTGCACCAAAGGCAGTTGATGACTTGAACTTGCAGCGTGTGGAGGAGAGCGCTCAGTAACCCCGAGTACACGTTGGCTTGCAATGACTTTAAGGAGGCTTTAAAATCTTCAATATTTTTATTAATTAAATACACCATACTGGAGCAAATGTCTCGGAAAATATCACAAATAAATTTCTCTTTCATTCAGCATTTATATGTTGGTGATGATCTCTACATTGTCGACTATGAGCAAATTTCTTCAGTTTGCCGTGGGTTTGTATTCGGGGGGGGGGGGGGGGGGGGGGTTTGGAGTGCGGAGGGTCAGATGTACTGTAGCCACGCCTGGACGACGACATTTACATGCATACTGTACATACATGGTAGTTTTACAAATACACCAAGAGTGTTCATGATTTGTTTTTCCACAAAAAAGCCACAGATCTTTTTTTTCCTTTTTTTTTTTAAACCCAATAAATTGTTCTATATATACCATCAAAGAAAGAAGAAAAAACACATTCCCCTTCAACACCTAAAATGTATAAAGTGGAAACACTATGTTGTTGGGGAATGAGGATAGAAAAGGAAGAGGAAAAATGAAAAGGTCCCAGGTTTTCCCCCTAAAATGTGTTTAAACAAATATGCAGTGGAAAAGCCTGCATCTCCTCAACATCATTAGTCCTTTTCTCCCCCGCTCGCTTCAGTCGCAACATCCTCCTGTGTTTCATTTCATTTCTCTCCTGAAGAGTCCCCTTGAATTAAAATCGGTCTCTTCTTCTTCTGCTTAAATCCCAAGGTCACCGAGTCCTCAGCGTTCCTGAATCAGGCGCATTAAGTGCAAGTATCCACCCACATTTGGGGAGAGGAGCCGAGTTGGAAAGGCTGAGCGTCGGGTATGAGTCGCAGAAATAAAAGTCACGTAACTGGTCGGGTGGGTAGTGGGTTCCTTCCTGGGAGCACAGCTGAAAGGCCGGGGTGGGGAGGGGAGGGGGGGCGGTGGGGGAGGGGCTGCTGATCCACGCCGTCTCGGGTGACAATGAGTAAGGGCTAAAATGAAGGCACACATCCTGCTTCCTGCACCCGCCCCTCCTAACACACCTGAAACAAGAGAGAGAGAGAGAGAGAGGAGAAACAGTTAGTCCACCTCCAGGAGTGTGCGCTTACAAAACGCCACCAATGCTTCACCCTGACGGATGCACTCTCCACCAGCTCCAGTGCTTCATTTATTGATCAGCCAGGCTGTGAAACCCATCTGGTGTCCCATTTACTTTGCATTAACTTAAAAGTGCATCCATGAAGCGATTCTCTTTGGTACAATTACAGCGCAGCTCTGACATCACTGCAGGAGCAACCCGGCCCGTTTCTTCTTTATGATTCTTGGAGGCGGTTTACTCTTCCCTTCATCCCTCAAATCACTAGGAGGGCTTCAGTCTATTAGTAATTGCAAACTCCTACTTGGGGGCTAATTAAAGTGACTGACGCTGGGAGGGTCTCGCTCCCCTGGGTCAAAGCAGCTCCGTGTGAGGGAGCTAATTTGTCTGTTCTGAACAAAGCGATTAGGGAGAAGCCAGGAAGAAAGCCTAATAAATGAGCAAAATCGCACATAATCAAAACAAATGTCTGCAGATGACTGCGTGTGAGCGGACTGCTCCATCCTGCTCCTCTCGGCACTCTGGGTGGAGCGGTTGATGATGCAGGAGGTGCATTCACTTGTACCACTAGAAGTCGCCGTCCGAAAATCTGCTGTTTATTTAATAATTCTCTGCTATAATTAAAGCACCGGGCCGATATTCGGATTGCATTTTAGCATCAATAATTCAGCAGTTTTCACCACAATTGATGTTAGCACATAAATAAACAATGCGGCCTCATATTTACCACACCAGCCATGCAAGAGATGTTGCATGGGAGGGGAGTGGGGCCTTAAACAGACATTTAAAATTAAGCTAGATAATGCAACGGCTTTCAATTTAAATGTGAGGAGCTCTAAGAGCCCTAAGAGCTGATTTGTAGAAGTGACAAGCTCTTAAAAGGCCTGTGACGTAGGAGGGGGTGGGAGGGGGGGTTAATGGAGTACTACCTCTCTTCCACTCACAAAACCACTCAAGGTGAAATGCATGCTCCCAACAATATAATTCCTCTTTCAGTCAGACCCCCCCCCCCTCCCTATCTCTCAGTGTGCTGTGTGTGCAGGACAAGGTATCAATAAAGCTCCTTGTTGTGAGGCAGAAATGATCATATCTCCTGCGGGCAGAATGAAGCCGTCCCGAGGAGTGGAGTTATCCGTTGTATACGATTAGGCCTTCTGTTTTGCTTTCACTGGAGGCCTGCTGATCGAATCAGGGAAGCCATGATGACAGCGTCCATGATCTAGCGGCTAGCTCGCAGTCTGTGCTGCGCCTCGGGTGCATGTGCGCTTTGGTCTTTGGAGTGATGACTTCGCCCAGGTGATCCCAGTCGTGTTGATACAGCACTCAAGCGCTGTTTTTAAAACGGCGGCACGCGTCATTTTTTCTTCCCTGCACAGTTGCGTTTGACAGCAAATACATTCAGGAGGAGTCAAACGTGCGTCTGCTCTTGACGAAACGAGGTCGTGGACAGCGGTACACAGAAATAACGGTCACGTTTTGTGCAGACTGTTGGTACAGATTTTTTTCGTGTCCTCCAACAAGAATGATGGAAAAATCCATCAGCTGTCTGAAACTGATATTCATCATCTGCTGTGTGAGATTCGGTGCCTGAACGTAAACGGAGGGGAAAATGTTGCCGTGGAAATTACAGATGTTTCTTCATCTTGCCGCTAATGACTCCTGCTGACTGAGGAAAAGCTCTTCAGACCCCCCCCCGCGCGTTGTGTCACCGGTGCATAGCGCGGCCTTACCTTCTGGTCGGGCAGCAGCGGGTTCGTCTGCAGTGAACTCAAATGGCCGTTGATGAGCGCTGTGGGTCTGTCGTGTTCACAGAACAGGCTGCCGTTGATGTAGTGGAACCGATCCCCGGGGACCAGCCGGTTCCGGCAGGTGGAACATGTGAAACACTGCAGAGGGGGGGGAACAGTTCACAACCACGACCAAGGAACTCTCACGCTTTAGACTTCATGCAATGAAATGAGTTTTTGAACTCTCAGTAACTTTTGTAGCAAACAAAGCGTTTCAACATTTACCGACCATAGAAGAGATCGTTATCCAAACACACTCGACTGTTACTGTTGATCAGCGTGTGCAGGGAGGAGGTTTACCTTGAGGTGGTACACGTTGCCCTGTGCCCTCATCACCAGCTCACTGGCTGGGATGGACTGACCACAGGCGCTGCACGCTCCGCTGTTTCCGAATAACCTGAGAGAAATGAAGAAGAGGAGGGAGGGAGAAGAGCGTTACTAAAAAGGAACCCTTGTAGGTGGTCGGTTAGCCCGAAGATCGCCGTTCCTCAGCGCCATTTACAACTCAAAAAAAGGGGTAAAATCATCATCTCCCGCCAGCGCTCTGCTCTCCGCCAGCATCTAGCGCTGAAATGGCAGATTACTTTTGGTGCACGTTTTTTTTTTGCGACCCAATAATAACCTGGAACATAAGCAATCAGGACCTAAGAGGATTTGATTGTACATCCAGGCAGAGACGTAGTGCTTTTGCCATTAGAACTCCTGTGAATGCTCCGTCAGTGGCGTGTTTCCATTAGGAGCCAGTAGCTCCTCGCGTTGATATATAATGTGCATGGGTTAACCTTTTCAATCATGGTGTCAACACTTTAGATTTGCTTCTGCTCATCTCTTTCGTCCCTAACCTTCTCTCCCTCGCTCTCCTCCCCTCAGCCTCTTGATAATGAAATGCTTGCTGCAGCTTCCCTTCTATCTTCCTTCCGAGTCCACAATTTAGATTACTTCATCTCGGTGAGCAGCAAACTGAATGAAATTTCGATTTGAGCAGAAAGTAATTTACTGGGATCTGGACCCATTTGTCATCATATCTCACCGGGTGTTTGCTCTATCACTGCACTTTTCCTAAGCAATCAAATAAGACCACGGCATCTGACATGCTCCGCGGAGGAGGGGGAGCGAGGGATGAAGAAAAAATGGGGGGGGAGGAGGCGTTGTGGTTAACATTGGTGTGTGCTTCAGAAAAACCTGTGTGATGGGCGGGGGGGGAGGGGGAAGTGCTGGATGAACGACATATTTTTTTCTGTTCTGACGTTCTTGAGAATATTACAATAAGTATTTAACACATTTTTGCAGAGACTGAGCGAAGGAATAAAATGCCCCCACCGATCCTGCCGGAAGCCAAGCAGTTGTTGGATATATTGACGAACAAACAAGCCAGAGCTCTCTCGCAAAGTGACACAGAAATGGCTTCCAATAAGACGGCCTCGGCAGAAGCAAATTTTGTCTTGGCATCGGTTGGAAAGGCTCCATCAAACCTCAATTTCAGAAACTAATTAACTGGAGACGGTCGTCACGACGCTGCCAATTCTCTGCTTTCAGTGGGACAAACACGGTGGAGGAAAACGCGCGTGTCGGCCTCGCTCTAAGACTCCTGTGCCCAAGCAATCTGTGCAAAGGCTAAAAGAAGAACGCACTCATCAAAGCCGGCTAAAAGTCAAATTTTGCTCAAATTAAAAATGTGCTCTTTGTGCGCTCGTTGAACTCATTCCCAGAGGAGTTTGCGCCGCGTGAATGCTTTCTGAGGGGCGTCGAAGCACGCGCGACGCTTTCAACGCAGCCTTTTATGTTTCCCCACAGTGCGCAACTCGCAGCAGGTTGATGATTTCATCGGGCAGAGCTCTCGATAGCGTTTGATTTAAGGAGCCGAAGCCTTTAGGTGCTAAATTAAGCTGCTATATGGGTTTGAACTTGGGCTGTAATGGCCTCCACTGCCAGTGACCTACAGCGCTGAGGTGAAGAACACCCCCCCAGGTCAGTATAATTAAGGCCCTGGGACTCTTTAATAGCAGTGACACCTGGTTTCAGCTTTTTCTTTCCCATGGACCCCCGAAAAACCACTGAGAGGCTCTCTTTGCTCTGCTACGACCAACGCCTTTGATTGAATTAAATAACACAAAAGAAACACATTGGGAGCTGTCTGTTGTCTACATAGGCAGCAACTATTGGATTTCATTTCAGCACTGACTGCCAGATGAAATGCAGCATGGCTCGCTGCTGCGCTGTCTGGTAAACGCAGACCTCATTCACCGAGGCCTTTGAGTAGGGTAAAATTACCCCACAACAATGATTTCTGCAACACAGTCCATTAAAAATGCCTCTCTACATCAGCAGCCAAAGCACCTTAAAAGCACTAGGCCATATTGATACTGAAGCGCGGCTTTGCATAATGGCAAGAGCTGCATTAGAGAAAGGGGGGGGCGGGGGGGGGGTGAGGAGATTGCTGGGATGAGGGAGGGCGCGTGTGAGCCCTGTTGTGCATGTGTTTCAGGAACAGGAGGGTGGGGAGAGGTGTAGGGGAGGGTGGGGGTGGTGGTGTGGGGGATCAGCCAAATTACACTTGGTTAATTCAGAGTAACAGATCTGGCCCCAAGTGAATTGAAGGCCTTGAATTAATTCTGTTATGACAAATCAAGATAAACGTTTCCCCTGAATTGCATGCGATTTAATTAATTTCTGAGAGCTTTTTTTTTTTCTTCCCCTTTTCTTCCCCCGGCTTAATAGTTCACATTCTCTTGTGCTGTCATAGTGCTTGAGTGGGCAGACTTCAAAGTGATATTAAATAACCAACTATTAGATTTACCTCACACGTTCCATTGGAAAAGTGCCATTTAATTACCTAGGCTTATTTAATTAAGGGGACAGCGTTCTCACCGAATCCAGCAGCCGCAAGTAAATTAATTCTGCCTCTACTAGCAGCCCACAGACATAATATCTGCTCCAGCTTAAAACAACATTGTTTACCAGCCGCAAACCTAACTTTGGCTTAAAAGTTAGACACTGGAGCTTTTGGTGGCCGCGCTGCATGAAGAACAGGGACGGTGCCGCGTGTGTGTGTGTGTGAGAGAGAATATTCCCACGTGATTGATGGGCGATGGGTATCAACCCAGACCAGGCAGTACATCCCATTATAGCTGTGATGTGATGCGTTTCCACTCCTGATCAATCAGATGAGCCTCCTCCTATCGGCTGTATTAATCTCAGTTTGGAGCTTAACATGTGTGTCGTGCAGCCGGTCCGTCACAGAAAGGAGTCTGGCCCTTTAAGACGGGGGGGTTGTGGGGGCGTGCAGCTCAAATGGCCTTCTCAATAATCCCACTTCTCTATCTGTCTTTCTCTCGTGCTCTCTCTCTCTCAAAAGCCAATTTGGTTAATTAAATGTTTTGTTTGCAGTGTGGCTCTCATTCATTTCGGACACGTCACCGGGAGCGGATACAAGCCAGGGACCAGATCTCATTAGATAAAACCCATCAGGACTAAAGGAAATGGAGGGGGACCATAATTAAAGCATTTAATTGTGCAGCCTCACTGTCAGATGTTTCTGTCTCCCCCCACGCGCCCGTCTTTATCTCTACAGAGATCTCGCGGTTCCATAATATGCGTTTTTGCTCTTCCACCAAGCGCGCTCTCATTTCAAGTGGAAAGGTGGATCCACATCGCCCCCCCCATTCCCCCTTCCAATTTTAATTACGTTATAGTCCCATTATAAATGAAGTACCCCATTGACTTCCTCATCCTCTTTACGAGGCGGGTGTGAAAGCACACAGGCACACTTTAGATTTAGAATTATCCGCACAGATCTAATAGCAGTGTTGCATGTCGACTAAAAGTGCCCATTCTCTCCGTAAGATAATTAATGCAAAACAAAGTAACTGTGCATCTGGTACATGGATTTGAAAGTATGTGAACTTTCGGTAAACTGCGCCCTGTGCCGTGACACCAGACTGCTCTGCATTACCTGAAGGAGAGGGTCACCAATAAGCGCTGCTTGGGTGTCTGGCACACCTACTAGAATATTTAAAAAGGCTCTTTGCTAATTAAAAAAGAAAAGAAAAAAGGGCTTTTCTGTTAAATAAAACAAAAATATAGAGATGTGAATAAAAGAAAACGCACTCTGTGCTCAACACAAACACATATTGCACACGTCTGGCAGAACAATGTAACAAGACTACATTTTGTGCCCTTCAGTTGACCACGAACATCAAAGCCGGACGGACTTTTTGCTCCGTGCTCTCGTCAGCGTGCCAGCGACCTCGTTCGGGGGGGGGGGGGGGGGGGGGGGGGCGACCAGGAAGACTTCAACCGGGACACTTTAATGAACACCGATGATGTCAGTACAACTCAGGGCACATGTGCTGCAGCAATACACCCAACCGTGTTCATCATTGCATGACTAGCCCTATTTTTGTCTGTCTTGATCTGATAATGTTTAATATACTCCAGCAGGATGTGTGAGAAACACAAATTTGCTGAAAGAAATACGACAAGAACATGAAAGATCTGAGCAGCGACATCAACACGAGGTGTGTCTTTTCTTACCTGATATAGTCGTTTCTGCAGAGGATCATGCCGCTTTTCGTGTAGCACGACGTGCCGATTTCTCCCAGCTGGGCCTGGCAGCAGGAGCACTTGAGGCACCGGCTGTGCCAGTAGCTGTCCATGGTGTAGAGGAGGAAGCGGTCTGCGATTTTGCCCCCGCACCCTGCACACCGCTTCCAGGACAGAGAACCTGTGCCCACCGGCGGTGGCTGGCTGCTGCCTCCGGGATTCACCATTGTCCCTGAAAACACACGCGCAACAGATGATGTCAGCGGCACATACCACAGCAGAAAGTTGCCGTTCCGCCGGCGGGGGGGGGGCGAAGCATCGTTTTTGCCTCGGAGCTTGTGACGGGTCAGGTCTCTGGACCACGAGGTAATAGGATCGGCTTATCGATTATCAAATTAAACTATTCCCGCACCTTTAATATGTCGCTCCACCGGCGTGATATTTGAGCGGCTCTAAAAACCCACAACGGCTGATCCCATAAACAGGTTCTGGTTCCTGTTCTGCTGCGAAGCGAGTCGCTCAGAGAGCTAATCTGCGTCTCATCGTCCCCGTGCTGCTGCTGCTGCTGCTCTGGTTGATGAATGCCTGCTAACTGTTAACCCCGGGGCCAAAGACAGGAACAATTACACAGCGTGGGCTTTTGTTGAGCCGCCCTGAGAAATTCTAAATGGCACACAACTCGGCCGCACAACGCCTCGCTCTGTGGCAGCGTGAAGGGTGGCGGTCACGGGCTGAGACACAAAAGGGTACTTGTGTGAATTGCCTCCTAACTGACGTGCCACGCCGCTCGGCTCTCTGGCTCTGTGTTTACCAACAACCTGATGCCTGCGGGGGCCCCCCACCCACCCACAACCCCACCCACCCGATCGATGGACTTGCAACCAAAAAAAAGACACAGAGCTGGTCTCACTGGGAGCCACGGGACGGATCTCCCCCCCCCACAGGCCCCCTGTGGTGACGCCAAAGTGTCCCGATCGAATGCAAGTGCACAATTAATGTGGCTCCTTCTCAAACGTAATCCTCCCCGATGTGGCCGCGTAGACTACAAGCCTGGATAAAGACAAATCTTTGTTGAAAGGCAGGTAGGCTAATTATAGTTGGGGAGGGGGTGGGGGAGTAAAGGGGGGGGGGGGTGCACACAGAAAAGCATTCAGTAAGCCCATTAGTGATGGCTCTCAGGGACAAACCACAGCGAACCTCAGTGCTGATTAAATCTAAAAAGGGAGATGAATCCAAAAAGCCGACCTGAAAGTGACTCCCTGCATAAACAACACGGACCATCGTCAAGTTTCATTCAGAGAGTTTCCTTTTTTTTTCTTTTCTCCCCGCTGAGAGATGCAAGGGGACAGGAGGGGGGGGGGGGAAGGACGGGGGGGGGGGGGGCTTTAACTTAAATGGGGCAACTTCAGCAATTACACCGGCAGGCGGGGTGGACCCCAAAAGCGAGTGGGGGAAATAAAAAGAGGGAGAAAAAATAAAAGCCATGTGCCAAAGGAGCCCCCCGCGGCCGCTGCCGAATGAAGAAAATGTGGCGCTGGGGGGGTTTTTTTTCCTTTTCTTTTCCGGGCACAGAGGTAAAGAGCCAAGGAGGCAAGGGAGCACGGGTGTAAAGAGATTACGCTCGCAGGGATAACACAGGCTATCAGATATCACCGCTAGCATTCTGAGGAGGAACACAAGAGGCGAGGCTACTTTCGCGGTGCGAAGTAGCGCTGATAATAAAAGCCACGCTTACCTCGCTTGTCTCTTTTAAGAGTAATGGCTGTAAAGTTGATGACTTGCAGCGTAGCAGCGTAAACAGGTAGGCTGCGATAGTCCCACCCCCCCCCCACCCCAACAAAAAAGAAAGAATAAAATACAAAAAATAAAAAAAAGAGCTCGAGCCTGGACGTCCACGCAGATGGAGTTATCAGATAGTATTTCCACTGGTCGGCCGCCGGGCTGCTGCCGCTTTGCTGCTCTTCTTTTCGTCGGAACAAAAGGAGTCCATCGCCAGACAGTGATTACAGGTCTGCGCGTCCGAGCGGAGGAAGCCGGGAGGAGGAGGAGGAGGAGGAGGAGGGGGTTGAAAATACGCGCGGGCGATACCTGCGCGCGTGCTCCGGTGTGCTGCGTTGGGGTCCCGCGAGCTGCTCGGTCGGTCTGCGTGCGTCGCTGACGGGAACCGACCAGTAAAAACACCTTTCGGCCACGTGACGAAGGCGCCGCCGCAGCCAATCGGAGCGCGGTCCATTTAACTGAGACAACAAATGCGGGCCAATGGGAGCGCGCTCGAGGTTGACTCGCGGACGCGCGGAGGAGGATGGAGCGGGGAGGCGCGAGCGGCCGGAGAGGCGCGTTGACGAGCGTGCACACTTTAAAACCCCGACGCGGGCAGCGGGGAACGCCCGCATAATAGCGCGTTTAGTTATTTGCTGCAATAAATTGCGTGATTTATGTTCTTTCGTCACACTGTAGACAAAGGGAATGAATGAACGGCCGCGATGGCTGAACGTTATCCTCATGAAGACGGATGGATCTCCGTCTCCGTCGGTGTGTCGTACAAGGGCAGACGGGGCATTTTTTTCAACAAAAAAAAGGAACCGCATTCATCTCACGTCTCAGTTTAATTAGTTGACATTCAATAACTACTTAGTTTACAGAGGGTGACTCCAACCTCTGGGAAATATCCAGGCCTAATAGCTGCGTAGTGGCGCCATCGTCTGTCACTGCAAGTAATTGCAGGGCCTGCTGTCGTGTCCAGACTCATTAAGCCCCGGGTCATCGGTTTCAACACCTATTAAGGCTAATCCGCCAGACCTCGATTTGGCTGAGATCCTCGGATTCATGGAGACCTCCGGTTTTGAGTTTCCACCATCACGTGAGACTTCAAAGGCAAGATGAACTGGAAGCGATTGCAACACCTCCTCATACAAATAATGTGGTGCTGACATGCCGCTGAACGTGGTGTTGAAAGAGAAAGGAGATCCTCCTCTTTCAGCTTAAAGCCGGGACTCACGTGAAAAACAAGTGACGTCTTTGAAATAAATAATGAAAAAAGGAGATGGAGAAAAGTTGCCTCCGAGAAAAGTTGTTTGGGATTCACAGGGTTGACTGATTTTACATGACAAAACCGCTCCATTATAAGATGCCCCGGGCTTCATTAGAAAGACATCAGATTTATAAAGATGATCTCTTTCTTGACTTTAATTGTTTAATTATTCCTGCAGCTCCGAAGAGATTGTGCAGCATCAAGCTGATTTCCCTTTGGCAAAGCCGACGCTACTCCACCTTGGTTTGAGCCACATTCTCCTGACATCCTCATCAAGCCTCTCACTCACCAGAACAAAAAAACACCGAAGACGGCAAAGAATATCTTTTCCACCAAGGAATGATTAATTGATATAAATGATTAAAACATAGGGAAATTATAAAACGAATTTCAAAAGGGGGCCTCCCAGGAAAAGCTTTGTTTGTTGCAGCCCATTTTAATGAGCTTTTTTTTTTACAACAGGGTAAGAGAAATTACTGTGTGTTCTTCTTATCGAGCTCTTTTGCAAAATAATTATGGCTAGCTGAAGTGAGGAGTGGAGGGGTCAGGGAGCTGCGTGAGTTGGGGAGAGGATTTAGGCAAGGGGAGAAAATAGGGGGGGGGGGGGGTCCCTTGGAAATTCATCATCTAATTTCTCCACTGAGATCTTTCAGTCCTGTGGCAGTCTCCAAGCATTATGAAGCACGCTAGATGAAAGAAGACAACACAGAGGCACACAACAATATGCGGCAACACTATTTCAATGTTTAAACGGGGACAAGAGAGCGTCGGACGTGGCTCGCCGTGTTGATACTCCCCACAGGGGTGATCTCACCCAGATGAAAAGGAGACCACGTAATGAAGCGGCTTGCCCTGTGGGAAAAAGCCAGAGAGTCACATTCAACACGGTGGTTAATTTCAGATTGGGTTCCACTCTATACACAATATATATATATTCTATTAACGTGGCACTGAGAGCCCGCTTTCAATCCGCGAGTTTACACACCACAGACAATCTTCTAACTAAACAACACGCAGGTCACTTTCTCTCCCACTCACCATGAGATCACATTGCATTGTTTACCACAGCAAAATGTGGCCTTTTTCCTCCTGTTTGTGAATTAGCATCCCACTTGCTTTACCGGATGTGTGAGTGTGTGTGAGTGTGTGTGTGTGCGTGCCGTCTTTTAGAGAAGGATATTCCGTTAGCTGAGCAGACTGATGAGGGAAGATTGGAGTTCAGATTATCTACAGATACAGAGGACCCCCAACATGACTGAACGGAGGATGGCAGACTTGGCACAAAGATCTCCAAATGAAATCTTCTAAATGAGTCACTGGCTATGAAAACACATTAGGAATAGTTTGACAATTTGGGAAATGACTTGCTTTCTTGCCTACGGGTGAGAGGGGAAGGTCAACATAAGTATCATGTCTGTTAGCCGATGCTAAATACGCAAACGCAACCTGCAGTCAGCTTAGCTGAGCATCAACTGCGGGAACTCAAGGACAGAAAAAGGGATGAACAGCTCACTTGTCATCGGACTCACTGTCTGTGTTTCATCTGAAAGGTTACCCTCATAAACCGTATACAACAGGGATGTGGCCACGGTGACGTCCTGTCGGTTTGTGGACTGGGTTATTTGAAGCTGAAGCTTCTAGGCGGGGGCCATCTTGGTTAACAGGTCAAACACAAGGTAGCCCAGTTCCATCCGCTGCAGTACGCTGTGTTTTAATTTAAATGCGACCATCACTTACTAAGGGAACATCATGCTCAATTTAGCCCGACTATTTTCATCCTATTTCCAGCCTTCATGCTAAGCTAGCCGTCTGCTAGCATTAGCCTGCAGCGACTGTAGAAGATCAATCTTCTCATGTACCTCTTAGGCGAGAAAACAAATTCTCGAACCATCTAGACTCCTTAAAACCCTGGCAGTTTTTATATTAAAGTCCGGTGGTACATGCTGAAGAACATGTTGATGCTTCTGTGAGATACTAAGACCATATTAATTTGAATACATGGCCAATTAATACTCCACTGCGATGTGATGTGTAGTAGCGGTGTCACTTAAATAAGCACACTCGGCGTGACTAAATCAGGTCAACCAAACCCTTCAATCTGAGTTGATGGTGGTGTCGCTTTCTCTCGTGGTATCTTCTCTGTGCTCCTGCCACCTTCCCACGTGGTTCCAGCTCTACTTGGGTCATGAAACAATGAAGCAGCCACAAGTATTTTGCTCAATCCCACCCTCTCAAGATGTCTTACTTCACTTACTTGGCGGTATTGATCTTGTTCTTTTGTTGTTTTGTAATTAAACAGAGGCCAAGTGAGTTTAAGTAAATAGTAATGAAGAACTCAATTAACCACCCCTGTGTGTCACTGGCTTTCTTCAAAGCCTGTGCGGGTGATTTCACAAACTCTGGGCAGTGCAACAACTCTGGAAAGAAATATGTCAGGGCCAATACAGTGTCTGGAGATCGAGAGATAAAGTAATGCTTGAATCCAGAACAGCCTCGTTTGGGACACAAGTCACATGCACACAATACAAATGGGTCAGCATGGAGGACGTGAAGTATTATCGTCCTCAAAGGCATTTTTGTCAACTTTTTAGGGAAATATCCTTCTGATGTAAGAACACTCATATTACGCTTATTTCTGTGCATTTTAGCTGCGCTCAGGGCCTCTTTAAGCCCAACATAAAGATAGGAAAGATGGAGCAACAGCTTGTCTAGCTGCAGAATTTAAACAGTGTATTTCAGTTGTTGTAGAAATTATGATTCCGGTGCAGGGGTCCCCAGCCACCGGTCCGCGGCCTCTAAATGAATTGGTGTTGTTTCAGGTCACTTTCCCGTCCAGTTACTCAAAGCGGTAGGTGCGGTTCGGTCCCTCTGAAGCATTGGAACGATAGTGAGAACCACAGATTTCACATCCAGTCAATCGGCGGATAACGTTGGAAAAAGGGAAAAAAATGCACAAAGCGTTTGATACCAATCTTAACAAGTAGGGGCTTTTGTTTCCCGTTGTTAACTAGTTACACTCCTGCCTGCACAGGATTTGGGCTCCACAGGCAAACTTTTCTTGTAAAGCTAGGCCTGTATAATGAACCCATCTAGTCTGTTGTGACAGTTTTATATAAATGTAATGGATTTTGTGGGTTTTTGATGGATCAGGGTGCACATTTTCAAACACAGCAGAAGCCCTTCGCAGTAATGAATGTGCACAACGGAGGCAGAAAACATCTCGGCGACGGAAAAAGAAGAAAAAAGACTTTGAGTGACGGAATTCAGAAATTAAATGACGGAGCAGCAAAAAACAGCCCTTCCTTTAAGTGCTTTAATCGCTGGATAATTACTTCTACACACTATCTCACTCTCTGCATGCACACACGTACAAACACAAACAGAACACCATGTGCTGCCTCTAACAACATTGCTTTAATGAAATGTCATGAATCCTTAATGAGTCCCGATGTCTTGTGATAGATTTCATAATTATTCAACCCCACACAACTGGAGAGGGAAATTCATCAGTCAAAGCAAATTAGTTGGTATCCATTACGGTTCAGTGTCTTGTAGGGACATTCACTTTATTAGCTCCTTACACACATTGCCATAATTGGGAGCATATTTCATTCAGCTCTAACCCCACTTTACTGAATGACTGCTCTTTTCCTTTTTTGATATACAGCAACGCGCTGCATCGTGTGCAAGCAGTCGCTGTTTAACAATGCACGGTGGGAGATGATGTCTTCCCTTTGTTTGTTTCAGATATGGCATACCTACATCTGCGCCTTGCCAGAATTTTCTGTCAGCGAGGCACCGCGCCAAATCAACCTGGTCCATCTTTGTTGATTCGTGTAAAACATCAAATGAAAGAAGTGGTACGAAGCAGAGCTATCTGCTCCCTTTAATGTGAATTAATACAGGCCAATGATGAAAGAAGGTCTTTTTGCGTGGAGGCCGCGGTCTGCGCACGCCGCTCCTCGTTGATCAGTGGCACACGGCGGAGGGGATCATTTCTTTAGGATGACTGATGATGGCTTCCACTCACAGATGCCTCTGTTGTTTGTCTCGGGGCTGCCTCGGGCTTGGCCTTAGCCTCACTCCTCCCTCTCCAGCTTTGACAACCTGCAGACATCTCAGA